CTAAAATACTGATGCGTAACTCTGCTATTATGTGTACATATAGAAGGGGGAATATTCTAAAATACCCAATAACTTCAGCATAATGTAGTTTTGAAGTTAAACTAAAAAAAAAAAAACTTACTGCAAAACAAGCAAATTAGTAAAGAATGTTAAAAGGCAGGAAGGGAGGCAAAAATAAACCAATCAGCTACAGCAATTGCCAGGTCACCAAATCTGCATCCCATACAATGACCAAGGGAGAAGGGTCAGGAGAGAGAGAAAAGGTAAAACTACAAGCAGCAGCCCTCAGAACTTCAGGGATGGCCAGATGAAATCACACACAGACATATACACCTACATGTGCTGTACACATCAATCCTGGAACTAATCTCCAGGGGTTAGAGCACAAGAGGACTCTTTGTGTGTTTTATTTAACAAAACATCATGCAGAAATTGGGGGGGGGGAGTCCGAATACAGATTTCCTTAAGGTAAGAATGTCTTGATAGCAGCTTGAGAGCCTAGCATCAGTTATATCCCTTCCAGGATAAGGAAACAACAGGAACTTGAAGCATGAGACAGCTCCAAAAGCATAGATTCCTTTCAAAACCATCACACAGGACAGGGTTCAAATATTAAGCCTTATGGAAAACTGGGCAAGGTGAGAACATTTTTAGCAATAAATAAAATTTCCTGGTGATATAATAATGCATGTGCTAAGAAGGGAAGGTCGCTCACCATAACTAGGAACAACTAACCTGATGGGAGTTTCATCCTATTGGAGGAAGACAGGGGCCTTGGAAAATGCTGCCATACCAAAAGTATGGAATGCTTGAGGTAGCAAATGGCAACACATGTGCAGTGGTGGTGGTGGTGATGGTGATGATGATGATGGTGGTGGTGGTGGCGGCGGCTTGGCAATGCCACAGACCCCCAGAACTTAGGAGTCTAACATTTTTTCTAGGCAAAAGGTCAGCCTATGAGTCAAATCCTCCTGCTGGCTGTACACAACACATTAGTGGAAGCTATACCTATAACTTTGGCTGTCTAATTCTGGCATCTTAGAAATGCCTCCACAATTGGGTACCTGCATTGGTTTTCATTTAAATTACAAGTGAAGAGTAAGAGTTTAAGAGGAGTCTTACACAGAGACAACTATGCTGTTGGTGGGCTGCTACTGTCTCTTTCTGCCCAGCACCAATGTCTCCAGCTTTACCAAGCGTACCACTATCTTCCTTCAACTTTCCCCCTGGATATCTACAAGGTAAGGACGCTTAATCCTAACTCATTTTTGAAAACCTAATTTTTTAAAAAGTTTCAATTTGTTAACATTTTCATTATTGAGAAATAATATATATTACAATGTACCATGTTTATACATGTTCATTCTTATGTGTATTAGTGGTTACTGCATCTAGCTTCCAAGGCCTTCATATAGGCCCAATGAGGGGTTCAGAGGTTTTTTTTTTTTTACACAGGGAACTTCATTCCTGCCTCTTTATGCTTCTACTGCAGTAGGCTTTATCCACGTGAGGAACTGAAGGGTCAAGTAGGTTAAGCAGCTACAGCAATTGAAAAACCCAGATTTGAACTTAAGTCTGCTTTGATGAGAAACCTTTTCCTATCATGCTCTGCTGCTTGGCCAAGGCAAAAATACATTTTCTTAGAATGATTACCTCTCAGTCACATTTGAGATTTGCTGGAGAGCAGTAAGAGAGGGGAGCTGAGTGACCCATTTGCTCCAAGGGCTGGTTGTCAAGATCAAATCTCTGCTTATTGACCATCAATCTATCTGTTCTAAATTTTTAAATATAATTTAAAAACAGCCACAATGAACCCAGGACTAGCATGTCAAGCCCTTTATGTGTGTGCATGGTTTATCAACTAATAGGCAATACTTTATTATGGCAACAAAATGGAAATATTTTTGCACCTCCAAGACCATATGTTTAGACTAAAGACAAGTTTAAACAACAAGTAATGGGCACAAAGATCTCTATTTTCCTTTTTTTTTTCCTTGTAAGAATTATTCTAACTCCCATTTTATTTAATAAAAACATACAACTGTAACATTTTGGGGCTCTGGATCTCTTTTTATAACCACAACCACAGACCTTCTCCCTAGAAAGACACACATACACAAAAAGGTTTGGTCACAATTAAAGGGAGTTCAGGAACCTTTGAAGCCCATTCATGGACCCCTAGAGGTCCAAAGACCCCAGGACAACCTTTGCTCTAAAAACATACTGCAGGGGCAGCCCTGGTGGCTCCAGGGTTTAGCACCGCCTTAGCACCGCCTTCAGCCCAGGTCCTGATCCTGGGGTCCCAGGACTGAGTCTCACGTCAGGCTCCCTGCATGGAGTCTGCTTCTCCCTCTGCCTGTGTCTGTCTCTCTCCCCCTCTCCCTCTCTCTGTATCTCTCATGAATAAATAAAATCTAAAAAAAAAAAAAAAAAATTTTTTTTTAAAACATACTGCAAAAATGTCTACATTGTTTCACAGACCCAGGGTAAAGACCTTAGAGCAGCTCTCTCATCATCCATTTCAGAAGGCTAATGTTAAACACTTAAACTTCCATAACTAAACCACCATACTCTCCAAGAAACCAGCAATCTAATGACTTGAGTAAAATCACCAAATCTAAGGTCATGTAAGTTCAAAGTTCAAATCATTTTTGTCATAGCTTAGAACCTGCTACTTCTTTCTGTCCACAAAGGTTTCCCAATAAAAGAAACATTAGTATGGCCCAGAGCTTGAGTCCTTCCTGTTGTTGTTTTTTTTTTAAGATTTATTTATTTATTTATTTATTTATTTATTTATTTATTTATGAGAGAGAGAGAGAGAGAGAGAGAGAGAGAGAGAGAGAGAGAGAGGCACACAGATACACAGGCAAAGGGAGAAGCAGGCTCCACGCAGGGAGCCGGAGCAGGACTCCATCCCAGGTCTCCAGGATCAGGCCCTGGGCCGAAGGCCGCACTAAACTGCTGAGCCACCCAGGCTGCCCGAGTCCTTCCTGTTTTAACATTCATGAATGCTTTAAGATATAATTATATGAAAAACGACTACTTTTAAAACTCACTAAAACATGTCCTTTTATGATAGGAAGAAAAGTCAATCAGGAGAATTCTTAAATGTTCAACATACAAATCTATTATCAGTGCAGTTGCAAGTTAAATTATGTGGCTGGAGAGCAGATTTTTAAAATCTCACAAAGGCTCATATTTTGAGGTGTTTCAAACTACTTGGATCAAGAGCTTTCAGAGATGTTTATTTTTTAGGTATACCTCAAACTTTAAAGTCTTTCAAATCTCTCTTGGTCTTACTGCTTTACAAAATTTCTAGCACTGTCCACCGTATTTTTAAGGCACAAAATGAACATATAAAAGTGTCTGGCCAGGACTCCATCTATGAATATGAGACTGGATGTCTTATGAACATTTAACAGTTACAAAGGGATGGTGATATTCTGCTATAAACAACACTAAAGATTATTTTAAATCACTAGATACTGTTTCAAAATCATTATATGATAAGATGAAGTTCACTCGTAGCTTAACACAGAACACCATTTCACCACTTGACCAATCATCTTCTAAACGGTAACCATCCCCACCAAAACGCAGTTGGGATATATAGATAATCAACGGGCACTCTCAATTCACAGTGTGTAGTACCAAAGATTCAAAGTAAGTCTTAAGAGTATCTTCTCTCTTTCTAAAACCAAGATGAACAGAGCCTGATGCACACACACACACACACACACACACACACACGAGTTTCAGCCAGTCTTATTTTAAGGCCAGGGGGGCTTCACACCCTTGAGGAGGGCAAATCATAGTTCAGAATCTTCAAACTAATTTGTTTGTTTGTTTGGGGGTGGTGGTGGTAGTGGTGTTATTTTTTCGCTTGTTTTTGCCTTTCTGCCAAAAGTCAAAGGTGCTAACTGTTGAGAACACCACTGAAGAACAGGGCTGGAGTTTCGACTCCATACACGTGAATAAAATCTCGCAGATGCTGATCTCTGGGTAGAGGTTCAACACCATATGCCGCCGTATGCATTGGCATTTACGACTTCTTCCTCTTTGAAAGGACAGGTCCGGAGAGAAAACTGGGAGAATGAACCCAAGTTTCCCAAGGAACCAGGAAAAAAAAAAAACCCCGTCCAACTCACTTAACTGCTTCAGCCCGGATGTGAAGAGGTGGTGGTGGGGGGGGAGTCTGGGGGGGGGGGGTCAGGAAAGCTGAGCAATAACTCTGGGCTCCACAAATCAACCAGACGCGCGGCTTGGGACTCAGACAGGCTTCCTGCAGCGTATGCGGCTCCCTCCATCTACCCCACTGGAGATCCCATCCGCGGTGCCGGCTCTCCCCTCCTCTCCTCTCGCCTCTCACCACGTCGACGTCGCCGTTTACGAGAAACTCATCCAAGTTGAGGTAAAGTGACTTTTGGGAAGAGATGCCGCCGTGACCTGCGCGCTGCTCCGGAAACGTGTCACCTCGGCACACCGGGCGACGCTACTCCAGGAGCACCCCGCACCCCACCCCCACCCCCACCCCCACCCTACACACACACACACACACACACTGCACTGTCAACTTCCCCTTAGGACGGGGACAATCACATAGACTTTTTTTCTTTTTTTGGAAAGTCAAAGAGGAAAAAAATATATATAATAATAATAATAATTAATAATAATAGAGCAGCCCGGCCGGGCCACGGACGCGCCCTCCGCGCCCCGGGGGCAGCCGCTCCGCCGAGTCGTCCTGCAGGTCTGCAAGTTTCTCGCGGCCCCCGTCGCCGAGCACCCGGAGGGGAGCGGGGCGGGGGGGGGGGGCTCCCCCGACCTGGAAGCCGGGGCCTCGGGCTCGCCGGCCGCCCCCGCGCGAGTGCCCGCGTTCGAGCCCCGCCCCGGCGCGCGTGGGCGCCAAGTCCGCAGGGCCCCCCCCCCCGCGCCCCTCGTGCGCGGCGCCCCCCCCCGCCCCCGCCGCGGCCGCCCCCCTTCCCCGGGCCGGGCGAGCTCACCTGGCGGCAGGCGGCGGCCTCCGGGGCGGCCTCTGGGCGTGGGCCGGGCGGGGGGGCCGGGGCTGCAGCCGGGGCCGCCGCCGCCCGCCGGCCTCGCCCCCACACGCGCCGGCCGCGGCCGCCCCCGGGCAGTGCGGGAGCGCGGGGAGCGCGGGAGCGCGGGTCCCGCGGCGGCGGCTCAGGCGGCGGCGGCTCAGGCGGCGGAGCGGGCGGAGCGGGCGGAGCGGGCGGCCGCGGGCGCCGCCGCCTCCTCCTCCATGGCTGTTTACCCGGCTGCATTGTGGGAGTTTGACCTCCGCCGCCGCCAACCGCCGCCTCAGCCTGCGCCGCCGCCGCCGCCGCCGCCGCGCACGCCATGGGAGCCGTGACTGACGGTGAGGCCTCCCCCGCCGCTCCCCGAGCCCCGCGGGCCTCCCCGGGCCCCACCGCCCTCCCCGCGCCCGGCGCCCGCGGACGCCCGGCCCGCTGCTCGGAGGCCGCGCGGGGCTCGAGGAGGCTGTGCCGGGGGCGCGCGTGGGGCCCTCCCCGGACCCCAGCTCCCCCCCCCCCCCCGGGGCCCGCGGGCGCCCGGCCTGGTGCTCGGAGGCCGCGCGGGGCTCGAGGAGGCTGTGCTGGGGGCGCGCGTGGGGCCCTCCCCGGACCCCAGCTCCCCCCCCCCGGGGCCCGCGGACGCCCGGCCTGGTGCTCGAGGAGGCTGTGCCGGGGGCGCGCGTGGGGCCCTCCCCGGACCCTGCTCCCCCCCCCCCCGGGGCCCGCGGGCGCCCGGCCTGGTGCTCGAGGAGGCTGTGCCGGGGGCGCGCGTGGGGCCCTCCCCGGACCCAGCTCCCCCCCCCCCCCCGGGGCCCGCGGGCGCCCGGCCTGGTGCTCGGAGGCCGCGCGGGGCTCGAGGAGGCTGTGCTGGGGGCGCGCGTGGGGCCCTCCCCGGACCCCAGCTCCCCCCCCCCCCGGGGCCCGCGGACGCCCGGCCCGCTGCTCGAGGAGGCTGTGCTGGGGGCGCGCGTGGGGCCCTTCCCGGACCCAGCTCCCCCCCCCCCGGGGCCCGCGGGCGCCCGGCCTGGTGCTCGGAGGCCGCGCGGGGCTCGGGGCGCGGGGAGGGTCCCTGTGCCGGGGGCGCACGTGGGGCCCGGGAGCCGCGGGCGGGCGGTACCGGGCAGGGGCCCGGGCCGTCGGCGGGCACACGGGGTCGGCGGAGTGGCGAAGGGGAGGAAGCGGGGAAACGCTCCCCTGCCGGCCGCCCGCCCGCCCGCCCGCCCGCCGGGGTCTGCGGGGCCGGTGGTGAGAGGGCTGTGGGGAGGCGCCCCGGCCCGAGCCGTAGGGGTGCCGGCGTACGGAGGGTGACCCCTGGAGCGCGGAGTGGAGGGGGGGAGGGGGGCAGGGGGCCGTGCCTCCCGAGGCCCGCCGTGGACAGGGCTTTGGGAGACCGTCAGGGAGTGTGCCCGGCGGATTTAGGAGGACGCAGGCTACGAATGGGGCCCCCTGGGGGAGAGGAGCCCGGAGGTTTGTTGGTGTGTGGATCTGCGTGGGGGACGCTGGTCTGTGGAGAGGGAGGGCGGACCCCGGCGTGCGGAGCCCCAGGGACCGGGGTCAGCAGTAGAATAGGGCGCCACCTTGGAGCAGGTGGACCGGCTTGGTGGGCAGCTGGAGGGAGCGCCCAAGAAGGTTTGAGCGAAGGAGGAAGGAAGTGGTTAAACATCTGGGAAGGGCACGGCTGGGGGCGCTGTGTTTATCTGAGGAGCCAGTGGCCGGCAAGGGTAGATGCTTCTGAAAAGTTGGGGGTAGTGCACAGGATCCCCACTTGAGGGAGCCTGCAGTGGGAAGTGGAGTAGCGGGCCTAAGTTTATGGTAAGAGCTGAAGTGCGAGGCTCGTAAAGGTCCAGGACCTTCGTGGGGAATTTCAACTTGGCCTCATTCCGGTTTGATTTGTCCTATCTAGGCTAGGCCTTGCTTGGGATCAGGATCCAGTACCAATAGGCAAGACCTACCCCCCCTACTTCCCCCCCCCCCCCCTTAGATTCCAGTCTGGTGGAAAGACACCTTGGATAATCAGTTTCAAGGGTGGCAAATGTTACTGCAAGGGGGGGGGGGAGTACAAGGTTGGGAACTGTAGGCGTATGTCACAAAGCTTGCTTATCCGTTCCCAAAGATCAGCTTCCCTAAGACAGTTACTTTTAGTCTCATTTTTAAAGAATAAATAGTTGTAATTGGACCGGTGTTCCAGGTGGGGAACCACTTGTGCAAAGGGCCCAAAGTGTTGGAAGAACTCAAAGATGATAAATATTGGCTAGAAATTAAGAAGTTATAGCCAGAGATTTCTGAGCCAACGGGAAACAGTTTTTAACATTGGTGTGGTGTGGTGTGGGCAGAATTGCATTTAAAGAAAAGGAAAAAAAAAAAAAAAAACCCGCTACGCTCCACTAGGTAAAGAATGGAAAGTAAGGGAAGAGAGGAGTTAAGTTCTAACATTTATGCTCATCATGTGTCAAGGAGTGTTCTAATTGTTAACTCCATTTTACAGATGCAAGGATGCTAGGATGCAAGGAGGTTAAGCAACTTGCCCGAGTTCTTGCAGTGAATAAAGTATAGAGCCTGAGCTCAAAACCAGGCAGTCTGGCTCCAGAGTTCGTGGTCGTCACTATGGTGCATCTGGTTGCTCAGCTACTGCTGCACTAGTCCTAGTAAGAGATGATGGGAGTGGATGTGAGGGGAAGGGCTGGTGGTTAGTCCAGGCTTCTGTCTAGTGACTGTGTGATTGTGCTACCTCTCTATGTATTCATTAAGGTAGGGTCAACACAGGAAGTGGGAAATGAGTTTTAGTAACTGTATTAACTTCAGTCAAATGCCCCCCCACACACACACACACACATCCTTAGAGGCCACAGGAGACCCCACTCTCCCCCTTATAAGCTGTCTGACCTTGTATAGGTTAATTAACCTCTTTGAGCCTCAGTTTCATTCTTTATAAATGGGGATAAGAACAAAATCTGGGGCACCTAGGTGGCTCAGTCGGTTAAGGGTCTGCCTTCAGCTTGGGTCATGATCCCAGGGTCCTGGGGCCAAGCCCCACATGGGCTTCTTGCTCAGGAGCCTGCTTCTCTCTCTTCTCACTCTGCCCGCTTGTGCGCACTCTCTCTCTGTCAAATAAAAAAATAAAACCTTTAAAAAAAAAATAAAACCTACCTCAGGGTTTTTTAGAGGTTTAAATGCAATAAAAGTTGTAGTGGTTTGCGCTGAGTCCAACATACAGTAATGTTCAACAAACTATTATTTTTAAGATTTTATTTATGAGACACACAGAGAGAGGCAGAGACATAGGCAGAGGGACAGGCAGGCTCCATGCAGGGAGCCCGATGTGGGACTCGATCCCGAGACCCCAGGATCATGACCAGAGCTGAAGGCAGGCACTTAACTGCTGAGTCACCCAGGCGTCCCAACAAACACCATTCAATGTAAGAATTGGTCTATTTCTCTCTCCTTCATTTTCCTTTGATGAGGCCTTTTTCATCTCTGTATTTGCACAGATTGATTGCCCTTTTCTGCCTGGTAACTGCCATTTGTTCTTCAAGGCCCACTTCAAATATTCATCTCTTCCCTTTTCTAGAACAAGTTAGCCTTTCACCTATTAACCATATTATTTTATATATATTGCTGTTGTAGCCCTTAATACTTAATCCACTTAAATGACATATTCTAGAAAATATTTAAGGCAGCTCACCATAATGTGAAAACAAAAAATAATTCATGAGGAAATAGGGCAAAAAGAGCATTGAGAGGAGGGAAGACAAGAGGAAGTTAGAAGTTGGGTAATCCTCAAAATGCAGTGGGTTAAATCTGGTGCATTAAGACAGAAGTAACTCTTGTACTAATTCGTACCAACAGGCAGGACCTGGTCCACTTGTGACCTTGTGTACATGAGAGAAGGCAACATTAGATACACAGGACAAACACGTTCTGATTTTTTTTTTTAAGATTTTATTTATTTATTCATGAGAGAGAGAGGCAGAGACATAGGCAGAGAGAGAAACAGGTTCCATGCAGGGAGCCTGATGTGGGACTCGATCCTGGGTCTCCAGGATCATACCCTGGGCTGAATGCAGATGCTCAACCACTGAGCCACCCAGGTGTCCCCACTTTCTGATTTAAACACTGAAGTTAAAGTTGATATATAGGGTACGCATAAAGAAAAGCTAGTGTCGTATCCTTAACCTCTTGATGATCATCGGGCTGTTTCTTAGCACATCCCTGGCTAGGTCAAAGAAGGCTCAAGAAGAGCATCCGAAAGCCAGTAGGTCAGGTGGTTTAACTGAACACTTCTGTTGCTCTGCCTTATTTCAGAATAAGTTTTTTTGCTAATTGGTTTTAAGAATACTTAGGTCATAGAAGAATGGACAAAGTGTAACTTTGTAACTTGTGCAGGCAATCCTCTGTAAACATGGTTTTCATCAACTGGGATTTTGGTAAATAAGCAGAAGTGGGACGCCTGGGTGGCTCAGCGGTTGAGCATCTACCTTTAGCTCAGGGCGTGATCCTAGAGTCCTGGGATCTAGTTCCGCGTCGGGCTCCCTGCATGGAGTCTGCTTTTCCCTCTATGTCTCTGCCTCTCTCTGTGTGTCTCTCATGAACAAATAAATAAAAAAAAAAAGGAAAAGCAGAAGTGAGTAGTGGGTATGATTGATCAACAATGTATTGCATACCTTCTGGGTCCAATTCGAGGTGCTGTCTACAGCAATAAACTACCGAGGAAGACCTGGCTTCTGCTTGGAGGACAGAAGCAATAGCATGCAATCAAATAATAGTTAATTTCTGATAAAAGAACCTAATTAAGCTCTGGAATTACCTAAATTCTGAGAACAAACTGGATGGAATATGAAAGACCACAATGGAAGAGGGCTGCCAACAGTCAAGTATGATGACCTTTCTGAAAAATGACCTTTAGAGTAAGGCCTGAAGGCATCAACCCTGCCAAGAGTCCAGGAAAGGATTCTGGACAGGTTACAACTAGTGCAAGGGCCTGAGGAAAAAATAAGCTCTGCCCCGTAGAGAAGATAAGGAATAAGATAAGGGGTGGTATCCTGGTGGGTCAGAATGAGTGTGATACCAAAGGAGAAGTAAACAGGAGCTTGCCCAGAGCCACCTAAGCCATGGAAAGGAGGTTTGATTGTCTTCTGTGGGTACTTAGATATGATTGGAGGCTTTTAAGCAGAAAAATTAGTAATCCCATACTTCTTTTTGATCATTCTAGGTTGCTGTATAGGGAATGGGTTTTAGGAAGGTAAGAATGGAAGCAGGGAGGCCAGTGAGAAGTGTTTTGAGAGTCAAGGTGGGTTTGGATTAGGATGATGGCAGCAAAGACAGGAGTGACTGAATAGCTCAGTCA